GCCTGCTAAAGGGTGGGATTTAACAAGGATTTCATTTCTAAAGGTGGGGCCCTTATGGAAAAGGAAAGGGTGGACCTCATGGCAGAGCTGCTTGTAGTATGCGGCATCTTTGCAGGCTCTTGGGGCATCTCTCCATCAAGTGGCTACGGTGCAGCAGTGTCGGAAGACAGCGTCCTGGCGTCCGAGGGAAGAAAGCCCATCCCGTCACAGTTGTGTCTGGATCCCCAGGAGCCGTCCCTGACCTGGGGGTTTAAGGAGAACACCCCTTTAGAGTTACATCTTAGTGGCAGAGGCAGGGAGACGGGTGGCCAAGATGGAGGGGGCTGGCCGTTTCCCCAGAGCCTTCCCAGAGACGTGCTCTCTGTTGGTTATTCTGCTGGAGTTCCTCCGGAGAAAACTGAAAACGAACCACATCACGGTGACGGCTGAACACGGTTGGGACCCTCCACTCTGCATGCAGGACCTACTGGGACAAATGTGGTTTGCTGTTCCTACCCCTCTCTCTTCCAGAGGCTTTGATTCTCAAAGGAAAGGAAAGGACAGTTGTAGCCCCCCCTGCTCACCGGGGACTGTCGGATTGGGAATCAGACGGCCCCTTGATAGTCACCATCAGGGAGAAGAAAAGCGGGTTATTCTCACAAAGAGGTTGTTTGTTACACTGATTGCAAACTGCATCCCCTGGCCCTGCTCTAAGCTTGGGGCTCACAGGGAGTCTGAGATGAGGATAGAGCTCATCCATTTGAACCATCTTGGAAGATGAAAAGGCACCACAAGGCAGGCAGGTTGCTCAAGATCTCCCAGCCCACAGCTGCTGCCGCGGCGTAGCAGAGCCAGGCTCGTGACCATGCCTTTGGGGAAGGATACCGTCACCAAGTCCCAGTGTCAAGCTCTTGGGTGAACACCTGCTGTGGTCTTACAGAATTGCCCCTACCTTCTCTTGTGATGTGGGATGTAGTACTTTTCCACAAGTTCCCTTCTTTTGGCTTCTCCTTTGGTCTGTATATACCCTTCAGGTTCATCTGAAGGACAAAATGACGAGAGACTGACAAGCAGGGCCACATCAGAGGAGGGGCCCTCCCCGGAATATTATTAGAACTGGAGGAAGCTGCCAGGCGCACAGTTTGGCGCCCATGTTTATGAATCACAGATCCTATCAGAGTCACCAGAGAACTTAAAGGTTTCTGGAATCACTGCACTCTGCAGGAAATGCAAATGCTCTTTGCAGAAGTTAATTAATCATTTTCCCTGTGTGCTTAACAAGTCTTGACAAAGTGGAAAATTGAAGATGCTATCAAATATGAGTCTGAATGATTTTGACAACTCTGCATAATTCAAGTTCGCTGCGGTAATTAGAACAGAGACACCCAAGTTCCTTGTACAAACACTAATTCACACATGTTAAATGAAGTATTTAATACTGCAAGGTCTGCCTTATCCTGTGGTATTATGTTATATTGGATTTTTGTCATAGCTTCGAAGTGCCGTGTATTGGGTTCTTTAGAGAAACAGGTGAAGTTATTTTAGAAGATAAAAAATTTAAGAAGTCTGTTTGGTTTATTTTTATTGGCCCTATTGAACTAATAGAATTTGGGAATTCAAGCTTTCCTATAATTATTAAAGCCACAACATCCATCTTGAGAGAGAATTCTTGTTAAATTCATCAAACAGCTTACTTACGTATTGAGAGAGAAACTGTCTTAAAAAGTTGGGTTTACTGCCATCTGTGTCACGAGAGAAATCAGGGTCAGGGTACTGAGGAACAGCTTTTGCATTGGCAGGATTTTGTCGAAATAAATCAGGTAAGATAAGTTAAGTTGGCTGCAAAAGTTCATGTTCCTGAGAGTTACTGACCCAGGAAGAAATAGCTATTGGTGGATGAGCCTGTAAAAAGTAGATTGAATATTCCATTAAGGAATTGTTTGGGAAATCTAAAAAATAGCTTTAAGTTATACCTCAGAACCACTATCAGGTCATTTGAGGAATAGTGGAGGGATGGTGAAGGCAAGAAGGCTGGTCTAAGGCTCAGGCCCATAGAAACACAGGGTGACCAAAGTGGATTTAATCAGGTAGTACCCCATCTCATTTCCTGGGAGGTGCCTTACTGTTCTGGTTCCCTAGTGTCACTCTGACAAGAATATACCACAAATGGCTGGCCTTAACAAACAGGAGTTTTTTCTTACAATTTGGAGGCTTTAAGTCCAAGTTCAAAGTGCCAGGCTCTAGGGGCTGGGTGAAAACCCCTCAACCTTGGGTCCACCTCTGCCTCCTGCTCCTGGCCCGTTGGAGCTAGAGGTATTTCTTCACTCAGACAGCGCTGGCTGAGAAACTTCAAGGTTGACAAGTCAAAAGGCACTGTCCTGATGTTACCAAACCACACGGCAGGCCATTAATTCAAGTCCATTGTAAGTCCCAGGGTCAGTAGAGCATGACAGACAGGCTGCTGAACAAATGACATGGCTATGTGCAGGGTCCAAGTGTGCCATAAGCAAGAGACCTTTCCCTAAGCTGCTGCTTATATACAGGAAGCAGACCACATACCCAAAGCAGCTACTCAACTGTTTGTAGTAGATCCCACCAAGGAGTTGATTGTCAGTGTCATTATGGGGAATAACTACCACCAGCTGCCCATCCACTGAACCAGGTCCAGGCAAGTTGACACACAAACATAACCACCACACTTACTTTAGGTCTTAAAGCCTGGTGAGATTTTTATAATTGTGAATAATGGGAGAATTTGTTTTCTGCTGTTGCTCAGTGGGCCAAGTGGAGTTGAGCTGAGAGCAAACCAAGCCAGTAGGTATTACGTTGGCCTTACATGGAGTCCAAGCCAATAGATGTTACAGAAAGTGCACTTGTTTCAAACTTCAGAATGACCTTCTGTGAACATCTCCCTGGCATTTTCCTTTCCACTTATCTCCTGCTGACATCACAGTGAAGTCTGGCCCTACCCCAGAAAGCCTCCCCTGCCCTCCCAAGACAGCTTGCACAAGGATCTCTCTTGCCAAATAAAGAAGGTAGAAATGTCTCCTGGTCCACAGGAAGTTGATGAAATGTGGGAAATTGTTTCCAGATTATTGATGGATCTGTTGTCCAAAGCAAGTGATCATCTTTGATAATCCAGAGGTCCCACGGGTGAACTAGCCATCCTGGGAGTCCATCCATGCCTGTGGGCTGGCATTGCCCAACTTCTCCCTCCCACTTTGGACCCAGGCTAGGCATGCCTCCCACCTCCCACCAGAGGCAGAGGAGGGCAGGGTCTGACCCAGATGTCAGATCTGAAAAATGTCAGCAGTTCTCTGGTATCTTTACAAGTAAATCGTGGCCATGAGAACCCATCGTTCCGCTTTTTGTTTGATTCTGTACAAGATTCCTTAGTAAGGTCTTGGAGTGATTCTTGGGAGAGCAGACCACTTAGTTACACAGGTGAGGGTAACAGTGGCATCTGTTCCACCTGACCAAGTGCCTACGTTTTGTGCACTTTGAGATGATCTGGTGCAGTAGGCTGAATAGTCGTCCCCCGAAATGTCCTCATCCTAATCCCCAGAACTTAGTGAATACGCTACTGTACACGTTAAAAGGGGCTTTGCAGCTGTGATTAAATTGGGGATTTTGAGATGGGGAGACTGTCCTGGATTATTTGGGGGGGCCCAGCGTAATCACTTTCATCCTTTTAAGAGGGAGGCAAGAGATGAGAATCAGAAAGACATGTGATGACAGAATTAAGAGGTGGCATTGATAGACTTTGCAGATGGAGGAAGGGGCCATGTGCCAAGGAATGCAGGTGACCTTGAGAAGATGGAAAAGGCAAGGGACAGATTCCCCCGTGGAGCTTCCAGGAGGAACATAGGCTTGATTTTAGCCCAGTGAAACTATTTCAAACTTCCGACCTCCAGAACTGTTGTTTCAAGCCACTAAGTTTGTGGTAACTTGTGTAAATTGCTTGCTGAAAGCAAAGAGGACATGAAGCACTTAGTAACGAACATTA